GAGATGGGGACACTGGCATTTTTAAGTAATCGAGAAAAGAAAATAGTAATTGTTATAACATTTTAACATGTCAAACTGTCATTGTGGTTGAGCCTGACAAAGGTCAAAACAGGGGGTAAAAGGGGGAGGATGTGGATTTTGTTTGTTAAAGCAAAGAATTATCGACTCGTGAGGTTGAATACATGTACTGGGATTTCAACCAGTTATACCATTTTCTTATTACTCTTATATGTCTGAACAGGTAAGCAGTATTTAATATTTTACTTGGGGGGTGAAGCCTGAAGGTATTAATTCTGGGGGGGTTTTGTTCTTTCTTTTTTTTCAGATATTTAATAATTGCTATTCTGTTTGCTTTTTAATGATTTCTGAGTTTTATTTATTTATTTTTTATCCTTCATGGGGGCCACAACCCCCAGGGCTCAGAAGCAAGGACAGCACATGAAACGATTCACAAACACAAATCGCACAAATGAATAAAGATTGTACGTGTATTCAAATTGGAACAGAACCCTCACTCTTTCCTATTAATCAATCTATCCCAGGACATAAGCTGTGCATATTCATACTGTTTGGGAGCATAATCATTGTTCAGTATGACTTCAAGCTAAAACATCTGACTTATAAACAACCCTGCAACAAATGCAGCCTTTTCTGTGCTTCTCATGTGCTGCAATCTGGGAAAATAATCTGAGGAAGAAATAATCTTTGTCTTTGTTATAACTGCAGCTGTTCAATGACTGCAGCCATTCATATACGGTTTCCTGTGGTGGGGGAGTATAAATGCAAAGTGTGCTGGGTAAGTAAGAGAAAAAAATGTATGTGGTTTGACAAATAACTTCGGCAGGTTTCAGTGGTCGTGTCTATCATTAGAGTTAGCACTTATTATCTACTCTTAATCAGACCGCTACACTCTTCTTCTTCTTCATGATGATTTCGACTATGTACATTCACCCCAACTTTATACAAGTATATGTACACACTCACACACATACACACAAAGAGCACAGGAAGGTCGACAGGAACACTTTTTTTTAATGTACAATGGGAAAAGGGGAAGTGGAGACGGTGGGGGGAGCAGCTGGACGGAGAAAAGAGTCTGTTTGTGTGTGACAAAGAAAATGAGAGGAAAGATCGCACACAAAACGTGGAATGAGAAATAAGAGGAAAAAGGAGGAAAGGCAGTCTCCTTTGCTCCTTTGCCCATGGGCAGACTTGCACAAGCAGAAAGGGTGAGAGCACTCAGCGTTAAGGGTTTGTAGCCAGAAAAAGACAAAGGAGATGGTGTACATAAATCTTTGTTAGCGAGGCGCTGGGGGGGCCCACAGTATGTGGTTCCTCTATATCTGTGTGACCAGACAGCATATCTAGCTTTTTTAAGACATCAGCTTTTCTGTTGAAAAAGTCCCCTTATGTTCAGCTGCCTCAGAGAGCTAATTCAGCCAGTAGTTTCCTTCCCTACTTTTCCCCGGGCGTGTGTACATATAAACATGTGGCTGTGTATTTGGTACCCAGGCGATAAGACCCAATTCAGCTAAGCCCGAGGTGCATTTACAGAAGCAGCCAAGTGTCATCTCTCTACCTTTAACAGCATGATTCATCTTTGTGAGGGTGGAATTCAAATATCTCTCGATTCATGCAGTAGGCAGAGATGTTGGGTGTAAACACGACAACTATAATAAGAATAACTATAATAATTTTGAGACAGGCCAACAAATACAATACAAAACAGAGTACCAAAACAAAAAATATATACTGTTAACAGCCTCAAGTCTGTCAGCTAAAACTTTATGTAACAAACATTGACGTATGATAGGACGCATTAGGTCTACCCACACCTGCTGGCTGTGCAATAGTTATTGGAACCCCGTATTTACAGACAATAAATATGTTTTTACCAATAGCAGCAGCAGTTTATGTGTGACAGAAAAAAAACATTAGGAGGCGCAGGTGCTCAGTAAAAACCCCTCTGTCATAATAAGGTGGGGGCACTGTTCAAATCATCCAGCTATGGCCTGGCTGTCTGCTAAACAGCCTAATACTGTCTGATGACTCGGACATTGGTGTGTATATGACAGTCTACATACGTGTGAGCTCTGCTCTCGCTGTTATAAACTCTCGACCCCTTGCTCAATGCATTACATCATCATTACAGCCACTCAACGTGAAAATAAAGAGTGTATGAATGGAACGACAGACGACCCTTCTGTCACCCGTGATCAGAAAAACAGCAATAAAACGAAATAAGAATAAAAACACAATTCTTAGTTAGTTTTGACTCAGCCGATAAGCAAAGCTACACAACAAATAGTTCATTGCACCCTGAGGGAAATGAGCAATTATATGAGAGACTGATGTGATGTGTCACATCAAATAAGCGCTTCTACTGACCCAAAGACAACGTGAAGTGAGTAATGGACACAGTTATCTTGCTTTATAGAGGTAAATTGCCCCCAACTGTAAATGTGGCCTTTTTAAATGACACAGTGCACTTATTTTTCCACAACACCATGACTATTAGTCCCCCGGCCCCACTTTGACAACAACTGCTTTGAGACCTACAAAGTAATGTTGGTTTGTGGTATCCTACCTGGCATGATGACATCAGAGAAGCCCAGTTTCCTGGTGATTGACACACCACGGGTGAAAAGGACCATGTACTCCCGTCTTAGTTGATCTATATCCCCATGGAGGAGCTGCAAAGCCACTGCCAGACCTAAAAATCAGAGAGTGATAACATTCATTAATGAAATATCATGTTCTCATCAATTTATCATCTCTTACCCCTCACCAAAGCTCAAAATATATAACAACCATATTCCAAACCATATACAGTTAGCAACTTTAAGGCTGGACGAAAATAGCACGTTCACAAGAGCACATCTCAAGTTTTATTCCAGCAGACTGGATTTGCAAACCATTACACCTGCCAGTGATGACACTTACATGTATAGAAAGCAAGCAGACACCCACACATATATAAACAAGTAATGCAAACAGTCTGCGAGTCACCCCGCAGCTCTTTTTTTATTAAGAGGAAATCCTACATGATGGCTGTCGTCTCAGTTCAATATCCTTATGCAATAACTCCAAATGTCAGCAGAGCTAAATTAAAGCGTCAGCTTGTATTTAGAGCTCAAAACGCATCGCCTTGATGTCTCTGCCTGTCCAGAGAAGCAGCTACATAAACAGCCTCACAGCAAGGGAATATGCAGGAGACAAGATGACGACAACAATTATTATTGTTGAGCGTGTTTCGGGGAAAGTTGGGAGGCAGTGGTTGAAATGGTTCATTAGCTGTAAGAGGTTTCAGTCAATGAGAGTCAACAAAGAGACGTGACTTGTTTGCAAACTGGGTACAGACACACTGGACTACACTACCTTACAGAAGCAGAGAAGAAGAAGGAGAAGTACAAGAGATGAATAGCACATTGAAAGCATAAAATATGTATGTTGCGTCTGTGATAATGTTACCTGTAGAAAGTGCCTACGTGAAGCCTATTTAAACAGGTTCTAAAACGGTGTCTTCTGGGTAATTTTCAAAGGCCACATATGACAGTACAGCAAGGCAAAAGCTTTCAGCGTAGCTGTTCTTTCGATATGTCAGTTCATTGTGCATTCTATTTTAACACAATTAAATTACTTACTATTTTCAAGTACTTTCAGCTCATTCTTACCTGAACAAACTTTAAAAATTAGTGTTCACCAGATTAGCATGCCTAATGGTTCAGTCACGCTAGCGTAAAAATAGGACGATAACTTCCTTGTAACTAAGAACAATCAGTGGTTGCACCACAACTACACTGAACTCTTTTTTTGCATTGGTAAACTGACTGTAGAGGCTGAGCATGCAACTCCTCTAACCTCCGTTGACCACTTTCAATCACAAGTGTACAGGTCGCCTGGTGGGAAGCAACCTGCCTCCAAACAATTGCAGTCTGACGCAGATTGAGTGCAATCACTCTCAGACACACTGCAAATAACTGCCCTATAAATCATACATACAGACAGGTTGTTCACACATTGCAATCAATCCGAGTCCCAGTGGATTTATGCTTTAGTGTTAAATCTGTGCTGCAGGTACACTATAACCACAAACCATTCTGAAACCCTCCAATGTAACATGCACATGACATGAACCCTCCTAGAAACGTATCCAAATCTCACCATCAGTGCAGTCACAAGTGGTGTTTGCCACTTGCACAGGCTACGTCGTAGGATCTATGCAGATTCTCTTCAAAAGGTTAATTCAGGTGTCGGACTGTGTCGACGATTGCAACTCACCGCAATGTGTCTCTTTCCAACCTTGTACTTAGCTGGTTATATTCTGGTTATACTCATAGATATAAAGCAAACTTGCGACATTTTTATGTTAAACTGCCACGCTGCTGCAACTACGTCACTATTTGTGGAGAAATTTCTCAATTTGTGTTTCAAATCTCAGAAGTTTGGGTTCTATCTGAGATCTGAGTTTGGTTTTTAAACCCTTAGTTAAGCATTTGCATCTCACTTTTGCTCTACGTCACTGTGGACAAGCTGCAGAGCCACTGTCAGGCCTATAAATAAGATAATGATAGCATTCAATATAGGATTTCAGCATATTATAATATCATTGCATCATAATCCTGTTCCAAACAGTAAACAGTGAGCAATGTTGTATCGCTGAGATAACAGCGTAATCAAAAAGTGACAACCCATTTTATTACAGTCGACGAAACTTGTAAACCACATAACTAAAATGATACCAGAGATAAGTGACAGTTGCGCACATCACGAAGAGTCTACTTCCGATGCATTCGTGCTAGTGGAAATACAGGGTACGTTACAGGTGAAAGCACCGGAATATTAGCTGTGCTTTTTGACCATCAGTGCAATCTACTGACTTTGTATCAGGAAGCAGTGAAATAGATAAATACTGCCTTCTATTTGTGTTCCCACATGTTCCTCTGTTGGCTGGCTTACTCGGGGCTGCAGAGCACATGTGAAAGGGGCTTTAGATTTTTCATTACAACTGAAAATTACTGTAATTGCTTTATTATTGTAAAACTGAACTGAAGTCAGTCTTAATTTCACTTCGACCAAGCATATTGTATTTTCCGCTTTGTATGTAACAACAACAACAAAACAAACCAAAACAAAAAAACATAGACCTATGTATAAATGCACAGCCTAGGGCACAATACAAAAGTTTGACGTAGACAGATCTTCTTTTCATTTGCTGAATGGACAAATCCTAAAACCCAGTCAGAGGTAACCACAAATGGTCAGTCAGCTTTCTTTGTTAACCTGGGCTTTTTGATTCAGGCATGTTCATAAAAAAAGAGGTTGTTTGACTCTTCTTCAGCACAAAAAGAACCTACTCATTTCAAACAGAGGGAACAGGTTGGGGAGACATATGAAGGTTCTGGCAAATTACAGCACAGGTCCTGAACAAATGTGATGAATGTAGTTCAAATATGAATCTATTGCTAATCTCTCACATTATAGCTGCACATTAGAGCTTCAAACTCGATATGTTTAAAAATGATGCTAAACAAGACCAATCAGTTTTCATAATGAAGTTTAAAAAACAACAACAACAAAAAC